ATGGGCTGGACGATCTTTCCCTCACAGATAGCCATGAAAACCTTATCAAATTCCTCGCCGGGAGACCTCACCCTTTCTCCGGTCAAAAACCCTGTTCCCAATCCTTCCCTCGCAAGCTTGTACAGGGGATAAGACCCTGCGGGTCTGCATGTATCATAATTGGATTTTCGAAGGAGTTAATTCAATTCATTTATTTCCCTCAACATATAATTTAATATGAAATATAAACTAGCTTATTTAATAAGTTCTTTTTGTAAAGAGTAATGATACACTGGATAATTCATTTATATAAATTTTATTTACAATATTTACATGTCATTAAATGTTAGATGATTACACTATTAAAAGCTTGAGTAAATTAAAAAGAGCTAATCTTGAATGATATAAAAGTTTATATAAAAAAGTTAGAGATTTTATATAAAACTTTTTAAATTAAGAATATTATATTTTTCCTTATCAATCAAGACCACTACTTTTCCGAAGTTTCTAATTAAAAAATAACATTTATAATTCTACTAAAAAAAGATTAAATGAATGTGCATGGCCATATCCTTAATTAAAAAATTTTAAAAAGGGTTAACATCAACTGGTAAAATTGCTTGCAAAGGTCCAAGGGTGGAGGCTCCTTGGTGCAGGGGTAACATCAATTAGTAAAATTCCACCCTCACCAATGTTGCAACTGCACAACAAGTCATGCCGTCAAATAAGAGGATGTAACAACTACTGATTATAAACGATGTACATTGACCTTGGTGTTAGACCCAATCCCCCAATCAATCCAGCACAAAGGTCGCTGATAATGTCACCATAAAGGTTAGACATCACCAATACATCAAAAAGTGTTGGATTCTTCACAAGCTGTAGGCAGTGAAACATGTGGTTGTTGTTATTTTCAGTTTTTACTTCCATAGAAGTTGTCGATGGAGTTACATGCATCAACAAGTAATTATTTTTTTTTTTCCCATAAAGAGCAACAGAAAACCCAAACAAGCCCATAACCCCATTAAGTAGATAGAGAAAAAGAATACTCTGCAATAAAGATAAGCTTTAATACCATCATACAATAATCGTCAATGACAACTTCCTCATATGTTATCTCAGGATATTTCTCTGCAACCTCACGGCAACACTGGAAGTGAAAATTAAACCACACTTAGTAAGTCAATCCTGTGGGAAACAATTACAATAAATTCAACAAGGTATATTAGCATACCTTGAGAAAAAGACCATCAGTTTTCTGCATAATGTTGGCTTTGTGAATCACTGAAACTCTCTCTCTACCATGGATCTTAGCATAGTGAAAAGCCTATTCAGCCACTCATAAACTTGCCTGACAAGTAATGATCTTAAGGCTTTCAACAACTCCCCTCACCACCTAGCACAAAGGAAAAAATAAGTATCTAATCTGTTTCCGCTGCATGTGTGCTAGGATGTTTATGGATCCTGTAAAAACAAACTTACTTGATGTTCAAGTCCACTGTACTCCCCTTCTGTGTTTTCACGAATGGTAATAAGATTTACATCATCATAACGAGTTTTATAGTCAGGAAGGCTGTAACAAGGCCTGACGTTGGCATACAGATTAAGTTCTTTCCTTAAAGTAAGGTTCAGAGAACGATGACCTTTTCCAATCGGCGTAGCCATGGGACCTTTCAAGCCTACCTTATTCCGCCGAACTGATTCTAAACTTTCCCAAGTTAGAAAACTCTGGGTTCTAGGATCTACTTGGTCTCCAACATAGTGTTCTTCCCATTCAATGGGCACTTCAGCTGCTCTAAATATCTGTATGGAAAACAATTTAGTCAGAACTCTGATAAAATGCCATGTATATTAACAGGTAAACATCTCCCAAGGGTGGGGTACTCTAGCGTATCAGAAGCACCAGATAGGGAGAAACTTAGACAACATGAAACTAACAGAATCCTTTAGATTTCACTCTTGTAATATAAAAGTAGTAAATCAAAGAATTAAAGTGTAAATCTGCACTAGAAAGATTCAAAGAAAAAAATATTGTCAATGTGAATGAAACATAACATATCTCATATCATTATTTTAATGTGATTCAATCAAAGCGTACATACTTGTCAACAGATTTGCAAGCCTGAAAAGTTTAGTTTAACTTGAATATGTGTATAGAACATTTAGTCAAGGTAACAGGACAACAAAATTTACCTCACATTTTGACAATAGCTGAATATTTGAGAACCAAAATCTTTTAGTTTTACCATGAGAATTTGTTACAAGAACAGATGAGAACCTATGTTCTCATTTCCATGGAGTAAGACTGTAGGACATTAACTAGAAAATAAGAGGTCTGCTGCCTAATTACATTATAGCTGTAAGCTGTTGTTAAATACCAAAAATTGAGAACTGGCAAATAAATCCATTTTTCCATGTTTATCATCACAAGGGCACCTCAGAGAGTTAGACAGTTAGTACACTAGGTTACCAAACAAATTGGCCAAATAAGTGAGCTATGTACCCAAAAGTCCAAGACATCCATCAATAGACATTTACCAAACAAACTTTCCAAACAAGACCCATGGTAATATCTAAAAACTTCTCTCTTAAAGATGTTCAGAAAACAGCTCATTAATCTCCTAAAATCTAAATTCAAACCACAACAGCTATTTACAACCTTAAGGAAGACATATTATAAAATCTCAGTTTGGATAACTTTTCGACTAAAAATTGCTTATTTATAACACTCTCAATAACCATAAAGACCAAGCAAGATATTGCCAGCATCAAAAGCTCCATTAAAGACGGAAACTTTTCACTCAATCAAATTTCCACCTAAAACTCCATTCCAGGAGGGAACTTTCCACTCGGTTACACCTAAAATTCCATCCATTCCATTCATATTTACTATCACTAGAAAGTATTTTCAGTGAAAACAAGCATAATCAAGTAACATACCACCGCAGAATCGCAAAAAAAGCTTAATTAAAAAAAGAAAAAAAAAAGAAAAAAGAAAAAACCTCAACATCAAGCTCCAATCAAGCATCCGATGCAGAAAAATAACTAAAGAGAACAACGAATTGAAGAAAAAGACAAAGAGAAGAACCGTTTTAACGGACTCGGCAATCTCAGGACCGATGCCATCGCCTGGGAACAGAGTGGC